GAGTTCTCGGTCCACATACTGCTGAAGCCTACCTTGTAGGATTTTGAGCATAACCTTGCTAGCGTGCGAAATCAGTGCAATTGTACGGTAGTTGGAGCATTCTTTGGCACTGCCTTTCTTTGGGATTGGGATGTAGACTGATCTTTTCCAATCCTCTGGCCACTGTTGAGTTTTCCAAACTTGCTGGCATATTGAATGTAGCACCTTAACAGCATCATCTTTCAATATTTTAAATAGTTCAACTGGAATGCCATCACCTCCACTGGCCTTGTTGTTAGCCATGCTTTCTAAGGCCCACTTGACTTCGCTCTCCAGGATGTCTGGCTCAAGGTCAGCAACTACATTGTCTAGAGAGACCAGCACCCCAGACCTAAAAAGGAGATGGAGATTTAGATGGGAAGTTGGGATGGGGAGCCCAATGAAAACCTGCAAAGAGTTGCACGTTTCTTGTTCACCTCGACAAGGACCTGCCAACCGAGCCGTTCGAAAGGATGTAAAAATGTGAGTCGATAAATAGGGACCACCTCGGCGGGAAGGTCACAGCGTTCCGTGTCTAAGTCGCACTGGCCACGTGGCCACGGAAGATTGTCTTCGGACAAACGCTGGCTCTACGGCTTGGAGACGGGGATGAGTCGGACACGACTGGACAAAAACTGTCAAGGGGAACCTTTACCTATCTAGACAAGGAAGGTCGGCTGGAACTGGGTCTGTGGCAAAAGAAGGAAACCGTAAGCGTCCCGCGCGCAACCCTAGACTGTATCTGCCCAGGAAATCAGGGCCTGCCCCATGCTTGCTTATGCCCACCCAGGTTCAGCCCACAAGGGAAATGCCCGACAAGAAGGATGACCCGGGAAGAGACGGTGGGCTTCGATCAGCGCTGTAACGTTGCTCCCATCGCTCTTACTGAAGGACTCATCAGCCATCGGGGAAGAGCCTGGATGTGTGTGTCCGTATGGTGTGCATCTGAAGTGTGGAAAGAGGCTGCATTAAGAGAAGGATCTTTTCCAAATGCCACAAGGTGCTGGTCCCCCTCTATTCAGCCCTGGTGAGGCCTCACCCTCACCAGTTCTGGACACGACACTGCAAGAAGGATGCTAACAAATTGGAACAAGTTCAGAGGAGGGTGACAAGGATGATGATCAGGGAGCTGGAAACCAAGCCCTAGGAGGAAAGGCTACAAGAGCTGGGCATGTTTAGCCTTGAGAAAAGAAGACAGAGGGGTGACAGGAGAGCACTCTTCAAATATTTGAAATATTTGAATATTTTCAAATATTTGAAAGGCTGTCCTACAGAGGAGGGGCAGGATCTGTTCTCGATCATCCCAGAGTGCAGGACACACAACAAAGGAGCTCAAGTTAAAGGAAGCCAGGTTTCGGTTGACTATCAGGAAAAACTTCCTGACTGTTAGAGCAGTACAACAGTGGAACTAGTTACCTCAGGAGTTGGTGAATGTTCCAACCCTGGAGGCCTTCAAGAGAAACATGGATCAACACCTGGCAGATCTGCTTTGATTCTGATTCCTGCCTTGAGCCCCAGGGGGTTGGACTTGATGGCCTTGTAGGCCCCTTCCAACTTCATTTTTCTATGATTCCAATGATCTTCCAATGATCTTCTGCACCTCCCGGTCTTTAACGTTGCGGGTGGTCATTCGAAAAGAGGCCCAGAAACCGGGCCTTTTCAGGAGTGGCCGCTGCGCACTGGAACGCTATTCCTGCGGAGGTGTGACTGCCCCCCCCCGAGCTTTCGCAAGCAAATTAAAACCCGGCTTTTTACCCAAGCCTTCCCAAGCACTTGCACCCTTCCGGCCCGTTGTCTGCCACCGTATGTCCCAGACGGGTGATTTTTATGGGCAGCAGCGGGGGGGGGGCGGTGTAGGGTTAGGGTTAGTTTTCTTTTAATATGTTTTATATGGGTTTAATATTTTCAGCTATATGTTTTATAATATTTTGTAAGCTGCCCAGAGAAGTGGCATGCTCACGAAATGGGCGGGGTATGGATATAAAAAGAATAAAATAAATAAAACAAAGGAGGGCATGGCATGGGGTGCAAAGGGAAGGTCATCATCCACCCTAGACATTTGACTGGGGCAGGTAGGATGCATGGACACACACACGCTGTGAGGAGAGCCCCAGAAGTAGTGCGCCGTCTCCTCTTAGCGACAGAGCCAAAGGGGTTAAAGCCGAAGTTTGTCTAGTGGAGGAAGGGGTGAAAGGAGAGGAGGAGAAATGGGTGGAGGTTTGGGAGGAGAATGTAGAAGAGGGAACTTTTAGGCGGGAATTCAGAGTGGTGACAAAGGAGGAAAAGAAAAGGAAGGAGGCGTCGGTAGCGCGTGAGGTGAAATCCTTGATAGATGATTTCCCGAATTTGGCTGTGGGAGGATTACTGCCTGAGCCGGGTTTGCAGGCTGAAGGGTTTGTGATTAAAGAGACCCTAGAATGGACGCTGGTGGTGTTCCCGCGTGGTCGTGGTCGTCGGAGGAAGGTGGTGCGCCCCGACCCGAGTTTCCAGCAACCGCCGATCGAAGGGGACTGGGCCCGCCACCCTTGTTGCGGGACCATATGCGCGGTGCGGAGCGCCCCATTACGGAAACCTACCGACCGGGAGCGCTTTGGGCCGGCTCCCCCCTTTTGAAACAACGTTATGATGTGAACTCTGTTGGACCTGTTAAAGAAGTGTTGCCTCAGTCGGATCCGTTTATTCCTACTGAAGTGGTTATTGACACACCGTTGTTAAATGTTAATAAAACTTTTTCATGGCAAAACACTCCGGATTCTCCTTTTCCTGGGTTCCCGCCCCAACCGCCTTACGAACCCCAGAACTTTGTCACACACGCACACACATGCACGCGCCACCCCCACCCCCAGACATGTTGGGCCTCTAACCGCGGAGCAGCCGTCACCAGCTGGGTTCTCCAGGACCTACCTGGACACAACTATCCTCACTAGCATCAGAGGCAGGCGCAACCACAGTGGCCGCGTGGGTGGTGGCGGCGGCGGCCCGGTTTCCCCTTAAACTATGCAAGGCGTGGACGTCCAAGGCCGCCCCTTCCACCTCCAGGTACGAGGGCCTGGAGACCTCCCGAGAGCACCTCACCAGGTACTGGCTGAAGGGGACGGAGCCCGGCTGCAGCTCCTGGAGGCCGGCCAGCACGTGCCGGTAGGACTCAAAGAAGGCCGGCGACTCCACCATGGTGAAGGTGGTCCTGCAGATGTGGCGCATCAGTCGGGCGTGGCTCTGCTGCAGGTCCAGCCACACGGCCCCCGGGAGGCGCTCTTTCCAGGTGGCCCCGGCCACAGTCCCAAAGATCACGTGGCCGCAGTCATTTGAGATGAGGCACACAAGGGAGCCTCCGAGGAGGCGCTTGGAGGAGGCAGCGGCCATGACGCTTCGTGAGGGGTGGAACTTGGCCAGGAAGGTGACCCCAGCCGGCGAGGTGCCCACGCTGACCAGCTGGACATTCCGGTAGAGCTGCAGTTCCTCAGCTGGTTTCTGTGAGTCAGAGAAAAGGCTCCGGAGGGTGAATTGTGAGGAAATCCCTTCCCGGAGGGGACGGAGCAGATCTTCCCGCAGCAGGCGGAAGTGGGTGTCCAAATATGCTTCCTCGCTCTCATATTGGCCCGAGAGGACATTGGGCTTCAGCCTGCCCATGGGCTCCAGAAAGATATCCTCCGGGGTGGGGAAGACAGGGATGAGGCGGAAGTCCTCCCGACTCGCCAGAGATTCCACGTGGACCCCCCTGAGCCCCCCACATAGAGAGGAGGAGGAGGAGGAGGAGGAGAAGCGTGGACCCCCCTGAGCCCCCCACGTAGAGAGGAGGAGGAGGAGGAGGAGAAGGCCCTGTCCAGGAGGCCCCTGGTGTCCTGGAGCTGCTTCTGGGCGATCCAGGTGAACTGGAAGCCACGGCTCTGCAGCCTCCGGACGGCGGCCCAGAGGAGGTCCAGCGGGTAGCACAGCAGTGTGCGGGCGTGGCCTGGAGAGGCCTCCAGGAGGTGGTGGAGGGCGGCCACCGTGTCTCCCATCACCTCCGGAGACACTCGCCTGTCCTCGCCAGAGAAGGACTCGAGGTTTGCAATAAATCCCAGCAAACTCTGGAGCAGGAAAGTGGGCTGCAGCACCGACCCCAGCATCGCCTGGACCTCCTGGCGCGCCACAGACCCCTCCAGCCCATGCCTGACGGCGCGCAGCACCGTGTACACCTTCCGGGGGCTGAGTCCGGGGCTACCAAGCACCCTCGCGAGCTCGTCGTCATGCGCTGTGAAGAAGGCCAGGATCTCCTTTGGCCGAGGGTGGAGGCAGAGCCCCTCCAGGCCGGCGAGAGGGCCATCCCCACCATCTTCCTCCTGCTTCCTGCTGGGTCCCGGCTCCGGAAGCAGCCTGGGGGCTTTGCCGGGCGGAGGACCTGGACTGTATCCGCGGCCATCTGCCTGGTGATCCCAGCCCTGCTTTCTCCCAGACATGCTTCTTTCTTGGCCACTGCAGGGAGATCAGCCGGCGCCTGGACCCCAGCGAGAAAGGGCCAGGTGTGGGCCTTCGCTTAGCCACCCACTGGGCCCTGCGGCAGACCTACAGGGAAGGAGAGAAATTATTTATTTATCTCTTTGAAATATTATCACCCTGCCTTTCTCCTCGAGGACCCCGAGGTGGCCATAGCTCAGGGGAGAGCGCCTAAAAAAAACCCAACAACAACCCATGCTCAGTCCTGTCGCGTGTCTCCAGGTAAGGGGATCTGCGAAAGAATGCTGGTGGGAGCCCTGGGCGGGGCTGGTGAGGGGCACCACAGCGTGCAATACCAGGTGGGACGGGTCAGTGTTTATCGAATCAGAGAATAATGAAGTTGGAAGAGGCCTAAAAGGCCACCAAGTCCAAACCCCTGCTTGATGTTGGAATACAAATCAAGTGTTGGCGCACTGCTCAACACCTCCCCCCCCCCGAGGTCAGGGGTTCCATGACTGTCCTGCTCTAACAGTTAAGAAGTTTTTCCTGATGCTCAATCGAAATCTGGCTTCCTGCACGTTGAGCCCCTTTGTTGTGCGTCCCACACTCTGGGATGATCGAGAACAGATCCTGTCCCTCCTCTGGATGACAGCATTTCAAGTATTTGAAAAGTGCTATCTTACCTCCCCTCAGTTTTCTTAAGACTAAACATACCCAGTTCTCTCAGACTTCCTCCAATGGGGCTTGGTTTCCCGCCCCCCTCCCCAATCACCCTTGTAGCCACATCACACTGTTGGCTCATATTTAGCTTGTGATCTATGATGATTCCAACATCCTTCTGATTCGTAGTATCGCTGAGCCAGGTATCCCCCATCTTGTAATTGTGCAATTGGTTTCTTTTTTTGAGGTGCCATACTTTGCACTTAAGCCTGTTGAATTTCATTTTGTTGTTTTGAGCCCAGCACTTGAGCCTATCCAGATCATTTTGAATTTTGTTTCTGTCTTCCAGGGCACTAGCTTTTTTTCAGATGATGGGTCATCTGCAAATTTGATTAGCATTCCTTACACCCTCTGATCTCAGGTCATTCATAAAAATGTTGAAACAATGTGCCTACATTTCAAGGCAGCCTCAGTAAGGCTCATAGATCTGCCCCTCGGGCGGTCCTGCATTCTCTGGAGGGGTGTTGCCCAATATACACGGGGGGGGGGGGAAGCTGCATTCCCCTCTTGGTCCCTAAGGTCCACCAGTAGCATCACCTCTTTCCTTGCATGAGTTGAGGGACACTTGCTTTTCATATTGGCCACTAGGCGAGGCAGCTGCTCTTTTTGGAAGGGGAGAATGCCCCACCCCCCATTTCCTGACTTGATTATTGACCCTGTTTTTTTTTCATGCCCAGCAGTCTTGTTTCCACCCATCCCCAAGAAGCAATCTGGGAAAAATAGACTGCCTTGAGCTTTGCATGCAGAGTGTGTGTGTGTGTGTGGGGGGGGGTTTCGCGGGGCAGCTGTCCCTCCAAGGGCACAAGTGAATGGAACCCCCCCCCTTTGCCCATTCAGTTCCCTTGCCCTGTTGTGGATCGCCTCCCTCAGCTGAAGCTGGAGGAACGGGCAAGAAGCCTGCTGATGGAGAGTGTGCGAGCGTGTGCCAGCCTTCGAGGGCCACCTGAGCTGTGCCTGCCCTCAGCCCCTCACCAGCTGTGGCTCAGTGGGTGTGCTTGGGAAAGAGAGACCCGGGGGGGGCACTTTCAAGGTGCAGCAACCTGAGAGTCACCCCAGGGCACGGGCACCCCCCCACAGAGGAGATGAAAGATCCAGCAATGGGGAGAGGTGGTGGGGACCCCCTGGGTGGTCCGCTTCTCCCTGTGGAAACGGTGGCACGAGGCGGGGGAGGCCAAAAGACAGTCCCGGTGCCACCCTGAGCCTTCGCGCCAGTCCGTGTGCTTGACTGCCCTCCTTGGGCTGGCATGGTTATCTATCCGGGGGATGCTTGTATCCTGTTGTGGAGACCCAGACAACAAATTGGAATTTCCTCAAGTTCCACAGAATCAGAGTTTTGTTCTTTACATGAAAAAGAGCTGATTCGGATAAAACAGTTCCAAAGGGATTTGTCTATAAATGTAACTGAACCTGTACCTTTTTTTTTTGATAAAATTACATGTATTTGTTTGTCTGATAATGACAGCGTTAAAGGTAGAACTCAGCATAGATGGATTCAGGTGTTTTTTTTTATGCCAGGCAGGCCGTTCAAGGGGGAAAGTTGTCTTTTTTTGGGGGGGTGGCTCGTGGCTGCCCAGTCGGCGGTTTGTTAATCCAGGGGTAACGATCCGGGCTTTCGTGCCTCTTTGGGGCCGGGGTCCTCCCCACCCCACCCCGAATGGCGTCT